ACCAGTGACTGCTTTGGCAATCCTTCTACGAAGTCCAGCTATAGTATTTTATAGGCATCACATCACAGATATACTAACTGTGAAATAGATTATTCACAAAATAGAGCTACAGGGGAGAGGTAGAGGAGTCAGCACTTATTGTAGGAGTCCTCAGTAGTTTGTCCATACAGTTTCATGAAGCACTTGTGCCTAGAAAGTGAGCCACAGCTAAAGCAAACAACTACGCCTGGACCAAATAAAGCTTAAAGCATAAGTGCTCAGCATGTACGTTAAATCACAGGAAACCACTGCACACGCATTCACAGCAACTTGATTATGGCTGTAGATCTTGGACAGTTTGAGGCATTCAGTTAATATGACTGACTTATACATAGTGAAAATGCCAAGCAATTTGAATTTCAGGATATATGAAACCCTAAAGAGTACCCTACTACTAGAACAATGGCCTCCAACTGCTGAAAGGAGGGAATGATACCCTAGGTTGCAATTGAGCACCTGTGGAAAGGAATAAAGTTTTTTGGCAACAAAATAAATGACAATGAGCAGAGACCTTTATTTCTGCACAGTGAAAGATACCCTAATTCATTTTTTTTATTTATCTATTAGGGAAAAAATAAACCCAAAAGCCACCAAAAACCAAAACAAACAAGGAGAATGGATCTTCATCCAAAATGTCACTACTGAACCCCAAATTTTTGCAGTCTAGTATGCCATAGACTTCTCTCCTAGGATTTTCAGTGCAGATGCCAGTAGTTACCGACTGCAACACTTCTTTCAGCATCCTGACATCTTATTTTATTTTTGGTTAAACCAGAAACAGGACTGTGTTGATCCAAATATATTGCATCACTTACATGGAAGCCAAGAGGTAGGAAACCCTTGCGTTTGCTTCCACGCTGGATCAATATTTAACTAGTAATGCAGAGGTGAAAGGCCTGGTTTCCCAATATTTCTGCTCACGTTGTTTCCAGTCAAGCAAGCTGAACAGCATCATTTCAAACACTGGAAATAAAACAACTCAAAACTATTCCAGATGGGCTCAAAGGAATAGAGCGCTTGGAAATACCCACTGGTAGGTCAATGAAACCTCCTGCCACAAGAAATTCAGCACCATGGCCAGATCACAAAGGAAAACACTAATTGCAGTTGAGCTGGGAGAAGATGGGGAGGAATTGCAAAGGAGTGTTCATGTGTGTGTTGTTGGGCTCCTGATTTCAGACCTATCCTCAGGGTTATGCTTCTGGTGGAGTTCGTAACTGTTTAGTTTCCCAACTCTTTTCTTCTTGTTTTGCTCACAATTGCTTCTAACATGTTTGTTTTTAAAGATTGTCCAGAAGACAGATAACCCCATGCATACCAGCGAAGAAAAAGATTGTTTAGGTCTCCATTGGGAGTAACAGGATCTCAAGAATCATAGGGAAAAAAAGCTCCATAGAACAGTGTAAGTCAAAAGCAAGAAAAGACTTTCCATCATAAAAACTTATCTTCCTTTGACAGGAGTTATTGTTTCTCAGTAAAGAACTATCCAAGGACAAATAATTCAGAGCTTCTTTTATCCTATAGATTGACCTTCAGCATAACTGCACAGGCTCTGTATACAGTATCAACCATGTCTTAGGAGAGTGCAGTGAATTCTTTTGAGATTTAATTGAAAAATGTGTTGAAAAGTAATTTTAATATTTTTTTACAAAATAAAATAAAGCTATTGGGATTCTGGTGTGACTTCGTTACCAGAAATACATTTTCCCCTTAAATCTTTTGTCACAGTGCCTACAGGACAAGCTAATTATATACCACTTCCCACCTGCTTTTACTTCTGATAGAACAGTCCAGCATCGGTTAAAATCACCAGATCTATTTTGGAACAGGAGTAAAGATGAAAAGCAGTAAGAAAAACAGTACTAGACATTGCAACATTCATATCTGCAGGCAGTTTTTGCAGATGGCAGCAGTCCATGACAAAGAAAACAAACAAAAAAATCATAGTGAAATGCAGGGTACATAGGAATTCTAAGCAATTCAGCAAACATACAGGTTCTTGCAGAGAGATTCAAACTGGATGTATTTTCACAATGAGGACAGTCAAGCCCAGAGAGGCTGTGCAGCCTCCATCCTTGGAGAGTTTCAAGACCAAAGACCAAAGTAACTTGGCCTGTCCTCATGGCTCGTCCTGCTTTAAGCAGGAGACTGAACTAAGTGACCTCCTGAGGTCTGTCCCAACCTGACTTTTCCTATGATCCTAACCACTGAATTCAGATTTACAAGTTTCCCTTCCTCTAACTGTTCTCCAGAGCAGAAGCTGATGTGATTAAAATTATGCATAATCATATCCCAACCCACAAATTAATTCTGTAAGGAATTAATTTCAAAATTTAGTTTAAAATAAGAAAAAAATATGGAGGAGATCTGGCTTTCAAAGTATTAAAAATAAATGCCTTAAGCTGCTTTAGTCTACTTATGCCACATATATATTGAAACCCATGTTGAGAAAAGATTTAGAAATATCAAGAGAGGATATTACAATTTTTTTTACAAATACACATACACTATATATTTAAGAAAAATTCACTGGTTCTTTCAGCTTTTTTCCTTGTCAACACACGAATGGAAAGTCAGCAAAATTAAGATATAGAACCAGGAAACACAGAGAGCACAGGTACAGGGAAGCACACTCACCAGATTTAAAATGTACAGAGAGAGCCAAGTGGGAGAAATGTATGATAAGGAAAAGCAAGCGACATTAGCTTTTAACTATGAAAGAGATGAAGAATAACAAAGGCATGCCTGGAACACATAATACAACAAAATGATCAAAGAGGAGAATTCTAAAAGCAGTGCAGACCTATACAAGAGGTAAGAAAAAAAATAATTACCTTATAGCACAGCAGAAATTTCTCCTTAAGGGTCCACCAGCAGCCTGCCTTCAGAAGAGATGTCATCCCCTTCTCCATCCCCTGATTCAACAGCTGTCTATAAGAACTCAAAACCAAGGGATCCATGGTACAGTAGAGCTTGCTGTTACATTCCATTTGTATTCATCTTTACACCCCTTCCATTTTTAATTGTAGCACAAAATCTAACCAGATTGACTGCTGGCTAAAATTTCACAGCATTTCTTCAATCAGCTGCACTAAGCAGTCTTGTTTGGGTGAGCAGGATAAGCATATGGGCACCGACCTAACATTTCATCAACAACATCCAAACAGCTGGTAGAATACATAAAGTTTGAAGGCACAAATAGGACCTCAAATTATACTGTAACCAAACAGCACGTAAATCATCTTTGGTGACACGCTGCTCCAGACTGAAATCCATGACCACGTTCCCATCAACACCTTTGCTGATCATAATTGTCTAACGAACTAGGGACTTTTAACAGGCTAGAGGAAGTACCTCCCCAAGAATGGATGCAAGCTGTAAGGTTTTAATTCAGAAAACAGAGACAACAATAATCAACCGAGAAACTTTATTTAAGCAACAAGGTAAAAGTAAAAGCTATTCTACCAAGCAAGGCTTTAAAACTTTTTGTAGCAAAAGTTAAGCAGCCAGGGAAAAGAGTAGTAGAATTAAAGAGAGAAAGTTATACCAAGTGATAAGTCTTCTCTAAACCTGATTCCAATTCTTATAAATAACTCCAAAACCAGCAACTAAAAAATGCTCAGTAATCTGCCAAAATCCAGTGAAAAACATATTAATTAATTAAAGTTATTCCCAAACACTCAAAAAAGCATGTTAGGAATCATGCAGCTCTCTCACCTACCTGGTATGCTTGCACTCATTACCAGCCTACATCAAAAAGAGTACAATTTTAGTATTATCATCTTGCAGGTACAAGAAATAGCTGGTCTGCAAGCTATCCTTAAAGAACTCCTGACGGTGGTACAGAGCTGCTGTTCTGTGAGTTACATTTTAACTTCCTTTCGTTTCACGTCTCTTATCCCAAGAGCTGCAAAGTGCACTTAGTGGGGACTGAAGAAAAATGTTAGCTTATGGCATCTGTACTCTAAACCACAGAAAAATTTATGTGAAGCCCATATCATGACGAGATGGCATTATCCTGCGTGCCATGAGAACAGTCAAAAAGTACCGCTTCTGTCTGTGAGAGAGTACATCTTCCCAGGATGTGTACATATAAAGTGTCTTATCTGAAAAGATCTTTAAGAATACACACTATTGGACAAAAGCATAATCCAAAGAAGAGAGAGCTAGTTCTGGTGAAAACAAAATTGCTTTAGATAAAGTGCACACTGATCAGCAAGTACAGAACAGCCTACACAAATGCCATGAGGCACCAAAATGCATATGCCAGAAAAAATTATAAGCGTTTTCACACAGCTTTGTAACAGAACAGGAAGCAGTCTCCAACAGAACCATAATGAATAGCAAGTCCAAATAATTTTTGACAGTTCCTATTACATAATTTTCTTGTTGACTTTGACAATATTTTGTTAACATTGTTTTCATGCACATAACTGGACATGAAGAGCCGTAAGAGTCTGAGGAATCTATCACAAAGGTGGGAGTAGACAGTGAAAAGCAATGAGCAACTCTTTTAGCCATCTCCTCAGTAACTAAGAAAAGCAATCTTCCATTTCACAAACACTTCTCTTATGTTTTCCATTAGGGCACAAATGCAAACACTGGTATTTCTCTACTCTGAAACACAACTGGTCCCTAAGAGAGTACTTTACACTTGAGTGCTTGATTAGTCTTAACTTGCCTAGTCTCAAGCCTACAATGCTTTCTTGACACCAACAGATCTTTTGTGCAACTGAATAAACTCCTTCCTTAGATATTTCCATCATAAAAGTATTCACAACTGTTCTAAAAAGGGATGAATGTTACACTTGGTATCCAGCAGGACTCACTGATTCTAGGTCTTTAGCTGTGCAACAGGGTCAAGGGTCTAGCAGGTTTTTTAATATTACTACTGCTGTTGTTGCACCGCTAAGTATAGGGCTTTCCAAGCAACATAGGAAGTATTCTGCTTAAGCAGAAACTCACTTTATAAGGTTTCTCATAATGTTTAGAGAAGACCCTCTGTACCCTCTACCAAAATGGTTCCAATGGTTCATGTAGTGAAAAAGCTGATAAAGCTCTAGGCGTTTCTCAAACCCTGCAGCTTTGGGAATTTTACTGTGATAAGCAGAGTAAAAAGAACTGCTGAAGCCACCAAACATCCCAGCTATTGCAAGCTCATACTCTGAATGACCGTAGAAAGAAGCAGGATCGAAGATAATTGGACCAGAATCATCCTCAGCTACATTTCCTCCCCAGAGATCTCCATGCAGGAGAGCAGGAACAATTTCTACGTCACAGAATAAACTGGGAATCTTCAGCTGCAGGGGGAAAAAAGCAAGATGTATAAGTACTACATTTTAGGGTGAATGATTGTAGAGTTTTATCTGCATACATGCAGAGCATGAATTGAAATTTCCTAAAAGTCAGTTCAAAAAACCCATAACTTGAAACAGCATAGGATGATTTTTCACCATCAACAGAGATGGTGAAAAAATCAAGAGGATTTCTATTTTTCATAAAAGCCAGCAGTTGAAGAATAGTCATCCAAATGCTTTTCAGCACTAAGAAAAAAAATGTAAAACTGCATTTGGTGCTGCAATATTGACCAGATTTAATAATAAAAACAACAAACACAACCACCCACTTCTTCATGAAAAGGCTCAGTAATATCTCACCAGCCTTGAAGAGATTTCTACAAAGCAGTACCCAAAAAGACAGTACTGCAGTCACTTAACCAGATGCAAACCTTAAATAAATAGATAATGTGCAGAGCAGTACTGGTTATACAGATTTCTCATCATTAACATGTTAGAGAGAACGAGAAACATTAACTCAATCTAAGATTTCACAAACAGTAAGGCAAAGCTCTATTTAGCACACATTCCCTTTGCAATATTAGCATAGAGTGATGTGGCAAAAGCCATTATACCTTCGAATAAAGGACATTTTAACCTCTAAAAGTTGGAGGCTCTTACCAACAGAACCTGAAGCATACCGAACAGGAACTTCGTTTCATTAAAAGAAAATCTAAGCAACTATAATGAGAACTGAGAGAACTTATCCTACCTGAAGTTGTGCCCAAAGCTCTCTTGCTTCCCTGTCTCCTGAATTCTTTTCGACCATGTCCATCTGAGGCTGGATTCTTTGCTTGGCAAAGAAAGTCACCCAGTCATTCTGCCAGTCATTCACCTGAAGGAACAGGAATGCACATGTTACTTCTACACCATGCAAAAGACAGATTTTCCTTTTTTTCAAATTAAGCTTTGGAGGATTATACAGCGTTTGAGCTGATATCATCCAGGCCAGTAAATGCTACCATTTAATAGACTTTTATCTTAAAACATTAAATTAGGGGAATAAATAATTTTCTCTAAGTGATAAAAAACTTGAAGAGCTATCAGTGTCCAATGCAGCTCTAAGTGCTATCCAAACCACTACTGTCCTTAGCAGGCTGAACAATGTTTTTTCTTTTTATGATTCCACAGAAATAAATGAATTTCCACTATTATAATTTTGGCCCTTTGTG